GTAACATTTTATTGTATTTTGTTTATTGGGGGGAGGGAGGAGAGTTTGGCTGCACTGGGCTGTGCTCAGGGCTTATCTCCTGACTCTGCACTCATGATCACTTCTGGCAGACTTGGAACCGTATGGGTTCGAACTTGAATTTGCTGTCTCCAAGACTAGAGCCCTGCCCACTGTACTATCGTTCCAGCACCCCCTCCACCCTCCCCACCCCTCCTTTACATTTAAAATTCAATTTTAAAAAAATTAGATGTTATTTACAACCTCTCCGCATCATTTTTCTTTATTAGAAAGATTGATACTTGACTGATTGAGAGCCTTGTGAGAGTTAGTGTTAAAGAAGTATATTAATCTACATTTTGGGTTCCGGCTGAAAGGAATCCCGGCAATCTTGATCAGATTTATCCACCTGATTCACGGACATTCATAGATGTTTAAATTTAGGACTCTATAAATAACTTATTTAGAAGTGATAGAGCTAAGTGAATTATTTAGAATTATTTAAGCAAATTTCATTAATTTTTTTGAATGAAAATAAGACTGGAATAATGGATGGAAATAATATATTCCATAAACCATATATTTCTTATCTGCACTAATTAAGCCATGCCTACTTTTCTTTTTAAGTGGTGTATCAAAAATATTTGGCATTTGGTTCTTAAAGAAATGGATGTATTTCTGTAGTTTTATATTTTAAAATTACTCAAAGAATATAAATTTACCTATGTGAAGTTAGAATTTGATTAACAGTCTTACAGAAAAATGAGTAATAAGAAAACTAGTAAATAATTAATACCTAATATAAAACAGATTCCTAACTACTCTAGCAGCATATGAGTATATTTTATAATCTTTCACATATATTTTCCCAAATTGAGGCAGTAGACGGGGAATTGAAATTTATTACCTTTAATATATTACAGATATGATTACATACCTTAATAATTTCTTGAATGCAGAGGATAATTCAGAAAAGGTAATAATACATGTGTTAAAGATAATAATGTTAAAATGAGAATTTCTAGTTCTTTTATAATGTTAGCAGATATTGTAAAGGGAATTGTTAGATCAATAATTAAGTATTACTGAAAAAACTCCTAAGTTATATACATCAAGAAGTCATGGGCATGAATTAACTTTGCTGAGTGCATTTATTCCAGGATGCAAGGCTGGTACAGCTGGAACCAGTGTGTATAATTTGCTATGTGAATAGGTTAAAGAAGAAGATATAGACCATTTTAATACTTACCACAGTAAAGATTTGCTAAAATTCTGTGGTCAGTATTTTTTTGATGGTGCTCCCAAGCATCACTTGGGGTCTTAGCGTCACTCCTGGTACTTGGCATGGCGATGCTTGACATTCAGAGATAAAGTGGTGCTTGGGGGACATGTGCTTAGGGGGACATGTGTTGTCGGATATTGAATGCAGGGTCTTGTATATGCCCACCTCTTTGAGCTATCTCCCTAGCTTTCTAGCATCATCTTTTTAAATTTGTTTGCTTTTGGTCCATACTTTAGGGTGCTTAAAGCTTACTCTTGACTCTATACCCAGTATCACACCTTGGAGAGCTTGGGGGACCATATGGGGTGCCGGGGATTGAACCTGGACCAGCCACATGTAAGGCGAGTGCCCTACCTGCTGTACTATTTCTCTGTCCCTCAGCCCCTAGCATTTAGTCTTGATTTTTTTTTTAATTAGCAAATCAGCTAACTGTTATTTTAAAGAACCAGAAAATATTTTAGGCTTTATAAAGCATATTTTTTTACACCTGCTCAACTATGCCATTTAAATAAATAAGCACACTCTAATAAAATAGTATTTATAAATAAGGTAGTGAAATATATCTGGCCTAGAGAAATAGTTTGTTAATCTAGGCTCTAGATAAAAATATAAACTTATATTAATTTTAAAAAGCAGTAGTATATGTTTATATGTGTTACTAGACCAAGCCTTCTTTTGTTTCCTGGTAGCATAGAGTAATATTATATTTACTATTTACTTATTCGGGCTGGAGCGATAGCACAGTGAGTAAGGTGTTTGCCTTGCACAGGGCCGACCCGAGTTTGATTCCTCTGACCCTCTTGGAGTGCCCAGCAAGCTACCGAGAGTATGTCGCCCTTGCAAGTTATCCGTAATGTATTCAATATGCCAAACATAGTAACAAGTCTCACAATGGAGATGTTATTGGGCCCACTCAAGCAAATCAATGAAGAACATGTTGTAGGACAGTGTGACAGTGTGATTTACTTATTATTTACTACATTATTATTATTAGTTGTAAGGGCTAGTCAGTAAGTGAAGTATGGTATGCTTTCAGAAAGAATACACGGGACCAGAAAGTGTACAGCAGTTAGGGTGTTTGCCTTATTTGCATGCAACCTTGGTTCAATCCTTGGCACCGCATATGGTCCCCTGAGCCCTACCAAGAGTGATTTCTGAGTGGAGGGACTAAACCCTGAGCACCAACAGGTGTAGCCCCAAAACGAAAAAGAAGAAAAAAATTGAAAGAAAGAAAAACCAAAACAGAAAGGCTACAAAATTCCCATAATTTACAATGATTGATTTTATGGCTAACACATATATTTTCAAGAAGCTTTGCTGAAAGAAAATTAGGAACAAAAATTCAGTAAGATAAAGGATACCATAATAGACCTTAAAGAAATTAAAAGAACAATTAGAAACAGTCAAAAAATTTAAAGTCATTGAGTTAGTGACTTTAGATAAAATATTTAAAATTTATCCACAAATCTCCAATACTAATATAAGAAGATAACTGAAAATCTGAGTAGTTATGTGTTTTGTTTTGTTTACTTTTGCCTTTCTTCGCTGCTGTAGTAACTGGGGATCAATTTATATCTAACTGGCATCAACATACATCTCACTGGGGTGCTTGCCAGGGGGTTGCACAACAGGCATCAGTGTTCGCACACTTGACCTCGGTCCCCAGCTGAAAGGGCTGCTCTCCTTTAGTTGTGGTGCTAGGTTGTATGCTTGCTAGAGGGTTTACTTCCTGGCCAAGGGTGCTCTCATATCTTTTTAGTGGTGCTTGCAGAGGGTGGTATCCCTGTATTGTTTTCACACACCTCTGGCTGCACTGTGACCAGAAATTGATCACGGCACCAGACATCACAGGCAGAGCCACTGCTAGGCTTTAGCGGAAGAGCGACCTGAGGTCATTCTCAGCATGTGTGTGGTGGCACGGGGGATTGAGTTTACAGCCTTTCACTGGTAAGGCAGGCACTGTCAGTGCCTGACATAGCCACAGTGTTCCTTCCTCCCCACCTCCCCCAAACCCCTTCCCTCTCTGGGTAGTTTTATGAATACTAGCACTGCACTGTAGCACTGTCCTGTTCATCAGTTTGCTCCAGCGGGCACCAGTAACGTCTCCATTGTGAGACTTACTGTTAACTGTTTCTGGCATATCAAATGTGCCACGGGGAGCTTGCCAGGCTCTGCTGTGCGGGCAGGATACTCTCGGTAGCTTGGCGGGCTCTGAGAGGGATGGAGGAATCGAACCCAGGTCGGGTTTGCAAGGCAACCACCCTTCCCGCTATGCTATCACTCCAGTATTTATGAATACTAAAGGAAATAAATTCAGAGTCAGGAGGGTGGCCCAGTAGCAGATAGTACCTGCTTTCCAGTGTCAGGCTCTAACTTTGGTCCCTGATGCTGTCCACATACTTGAAGCATGGTTTCAATGGCTTTGCTGTCTGAGACCCTTGGTGGCACTGCAGTGAGATCTCTGGTATACAGCCAGCTACCTGCAAGTCCTGCAGCTGCAACCACTAAAGTGTATGACTCTTAGCAAGCACCCTGATTTTTGTTAAGGGTTGAGCCTTGTGTGCTTATACATCCATATATATATATGTATATATATATGGGCTGGAGCGATAGCACAGCGGTAGGGCGTTTGCCTTGCACGCAGCCAACATGGCCGACCCGAGTTCGATTCCTCTGCCCCTCTCGGAGAGCCCGGCAAGCTACCAAGAGTATCTCGCCCGCACGGCAGAGCCTGGCAAGCTCCCTGTGAAGTATTCGATATGCCAAACACAGTAATAACAAAGTCTCCAATGGAGACATTACTGGGCCCGCTCGAGCAAATATATATATCTGTAAAGATGTATTTCCCTCTAAGATTGGTTGCCTTCTACTTTAAACCCCATCAAACATGGTGTGCTACACTTGGAGTATGAGTGGTGTGAGGTATGAGATGTTGCGGCCACATGGTCCAGGAATAGGTTCACTCGTGGGTGAGGCTTGACCCAAGTGTGTGGAGAGTGGCCATGAGCATGGTGGTGGTTGAGTTCTGGAGGTTTTCAGCTTCTGGGGCTGGATCCCTTGGGTGCGGAGGGGTCTCACCTGCCCCCCTTCGGAGTGCCCCAAATGAAACACCCTTGTGCGAGGTCCACAATAAAAAAAAATTCTTGATACTCGTTTCTTTTAAGTGGAAAAATGTCTGAGTAGCCAGAGAGAGCACCTGCCTTGATAAGACCGAGGTTCCAAGGTGGATCCTGGTGCCATCCATTTGCCCAAATGTGGTCTTGTGACTGCAGTTTGGGACAATTAGGTGCTATCTTTGGAGCTCTACGGGCAGAGGACCACAACCAAGTGTGTGTGCAACCCCTGGTCAGTACAACAACTCCAAAAGGAATGGAAAGAGGAAAATAAAAATATTTTTTTAAAAAGTGGAAAGATGGAATGGGGTGTGTGTGGAGGGGAGGGGGCTCAAGCAAGAGATGGTGGGTGGGATGCTTGACTACATGTGGCCAGTGTGGGTTTGATCCCTGGCATCCCATGTTGTCCTCTGACCACCCAGGAGTAACTCCTGAGTGCTACCAGGTGTGAGACAAAAACCAAAAAATTTTTAAAAAGTGGAAAGATTGGATCTGGAGAGATAGTACAGTGGGTAGGGTGCTTGCCTTTCATGTGGCTGCTCTGGTTTGATCTCTAGCATCCCATATGGTCACCCAAGTTCCTGAGTGCAGAGCCAGGAGTAAGCCCT